ACCTCGATGACACAAAACTGATCCGTGAGACGTCGGGACTTCCTCAAAAACAGACCTGGAGTTAGAGTCGGATTTGTATCTAGTGAAATAAACCCCCCAGGACCATGTAGAGCGCGTTAATACAAACATTTTATTTATTTTTATTTTATTTATTTATTTTGCACATAAACACAACATAACATGAGAATAAAAAGAAACACACCAGATAAAAAGTCGGTGCCGGAAAAGGCAAAAAACCCAATAGGGCAAAATATTAAAACCTCGACCTTATGAATACATTAAAACTTTTACATTATCATTGTGCATAAAAAAAAAAAAAATAAATATATATATATATATATATATATATATATATATATATATATATATATATATATTATATATATAAATTACATTAAAAACACCATGGATTAAATTCAAACATGGATTAAAACACAATGAAACATCCACAATTAAAAGATGATCAAACATCACCATGAAATATCAAACATTTCCTCAGACTCTTTTTTTAAACGACGCCTCTGATCCGCGTCACAAACCAGATGTGAAAACTGCTCCAGAATTTCCCGCCTCTGGATCGTCTGAACTCTGCATGTGACAAAATTTGGAACATGAAAATTATGAATTTGACGAGTTTTGTATCTATGAATCTCTGCATTAGTTTTAAAATAAAATGTGAAATGTTTAGGGATCATTGTTGAATTGTAAAGAATTTTATACATAAAAGTACAAATTTTATAAATATTAATCCCATAAATATTAAGAATATTAAGTTTAGTAAATAAATTAACAGACGATGTTTGTGGCACAGAATGAGTTACAATTCGAACAAAATGTTTTTGCACCAATAATATTTTGTTCAGAGTCGCAGAGAAAGTGCAGCCCAGACGTTATTACAATATGACAGATATGGATAAATTCAACTATAATATAATGTAAGTATAGAATTTGAGTCCAGAAACTTACAAACTTTTCTTATAACACCAAGAGATTTGTTCATTTTTCTGGTCACCCAGTCAACTGCTCTTTCCAGTTTAGATCATCATCGATAATGACGCCCAGAAATTTGGTGGATGAGACACGAGTTATTTCAATTGAATCAATTTTTATTTTAGGGTTAGTTAGAAATGATTTTTTACCACAGAAAAATCATATAATTAATTTTTTTGATATTAAGAGATAATTTGTTAATTTTTAGCCATTTGTTATAAGCAGATAAAGCAACATTAGTTTGGTTTATTAGAACATTAAAGTTTGATTTGGATATAAATAAAGACCAAAATGACCAAATTTATATTTATACAGTCTATGATGATTACCACCTCATGACATCACGTGGTGGAGCTGAGCCTAAATGTGCAGGTTTGTGTGTTAAACATGTGTGAATGAAACAAAAAAAACAAAAACAACAACTCCAGGTCGTTTTGTGCCGAGGAAACGACATGTAGATCAAATTAGGACAATATTTAAATGAGTCATTTACACACACACATTTACACACACACATTTACACACACACATTTACACACACACATTTACACACACACATGTACACACACACACACACACATTTACACACACATTTACACACACATTTTTACACACACACACACACATTTACACACACACACACACACATTTACACACACATTTACACACACACACACACACATTTACACACACACATTTACACACACACATTTACACACACACATTTACACACACATTTACACACACACATTTACACACACACATTTACACACACACACACACACATTTACACAGAAAAACATTCACCGGACGTTCCACAAACCTACAGTCAGTGTCGGGAGTAACAGATTACATGCACTGGAGTTACGTAATCAGAGTACAAATGATGAGTAACTGTATTCAGTTACAGTTACTGTTTCAGTGAGTGGTAATTGGATTACAGTTACTTTGTTGAAATAAATGGATTACACGGTGGTATTTTCCTGTTTTCACATTTTGGACTATATCCCTTTTTTTTTTCTCTTTTTTTTTTTAACCAAGCCTAAACCAGGACTAATTCAGGATTGAACTAGGACTGAACCAGGACTAAACCAGGACTAAACCAGGTCTAAACCAGGTCTAAAACAGGTCTAAAACAGGTCTAAACCAGGACTAAACCAGGGCTAAAACCAGGTCTAAACTAGATCTAAACCAGACTAAAACAGGACTAAATCCTGCTGTGTGGACCGTGTCTCCTTCTTCTATCAATAATATTTTTAATACTGTTAAATAAAGTCTGGGCTTTTTATTTTCTTTTAGCAGACAAAACGTCTTATGTGAAGTTATCCGAGTCTTTGCTTCTCTACAGAAAGTCAAGTAATCCAAAGTATTCAGATTACATTACTCACTATAAGTAATTTAATGGATTCTGTTACAAACTACATTTTGGTGTGTGTAATCTGTAATCTGTAGGGGATTACATTTTAAAAGTAAACTTCCCAACACTGGCTACAGTGTGACACTTCAGACACTGTGAAAAGGTCTGTTGTAAAAAAAAATAATAATAATGTGTCTTTAGTTCATTTATTTACTTCCACATGTTAAACTTTGTGCCAGGTCCAGTAATGACAGAAACATGAACCATAAACTGAGATTTACACGTCAAACTCCCTCTGTCCTCCAGCTGTTCAACTAAACTTCACCTGATTATGACTTATTCATTAGATCTAACATTTAATTGTCAATTTAATTATTTAATCCCGTAATATTGACTGTAATACGCCCAAAATGAACTAAACATAAGATGTATTTTGCTGTTGTGCATTGGCGCCATCGTGTGGTGAGTTTGTGTCATGGCGAGTGTTAGCATCAGGTCCATTTCATCAAAAATTCTGATAGATTCACTTACTTTTGGGCATATACCTTATATTTTGTTGAGTAAAAGTGTTAATATGTTTGCATTACTGGAACACAAGACGCTAAACCGTAATTTTAACAGAAAAAAGGGAAAAAGAACGAAGTGAATGTGAAGCTAATGGTTAATGCTAACGTGTTTTTAATGAATAAAACAAACGTCGCACTGAGACACTTTTATGACAATTAAATCCAAAATGTTGTGGTAAACAGTGTTTTAGGTATCTGCAGTGTGATTTAACATCTTAATTCAATGTGTTTTTGTAAATATAAATGTTATTAATATAGGGGCGACTATTTTCAAAATCAAAAATTGAGACAATCTCAGTTTTTGTTGGTTGTTAATCGTAAAATTGAGAGCGTAATTAAAGAAAACTGTTCTGGCCCGTTCATGACGACATGTAAGTCAGTACAGTCACATGTTGTTTGTGTTTTGTCGTTTTTTAAGCAGATTTTCTGTATTTTACCCAAACAAATGTCAGTTTCTGTCTTTCTTTACTGTTGCAGGATCAGATTGGTCCAAAACAGAGACACTGGGACATTTCTTGTATAAACTGGGACAAATCAGTGTTTTTGTATAAATCTGCTGGGACAGAGACACAGACTGAACACTTGGACTGTCCCAGGAAACAGGGACGTCTGGTCTCACTAAATCAGGGGCGACGAGTTTTAGTGGTCACAAGAAATTTAGTAAGTGGATCATAAGAAATCAGTGAGACTTAGTTTAGTGAGTCCAGTCGTCCCTGTTTCCTGGGACAGATCAAGTGTTCAGTCTGTGTCTCTGTCCCAGCAGATTTATACAAAAACACTGATTTGTCCCAGTTTATACAAGAAATGTCCCAGTGTCTCTGTTTTGGACCAATTTGATCCTGCAACAGTAAATAGAACAGAGAGACATAAACTGACATTTGTTTGGGTAAAATACAGAAAATCTGCTTAAAAACGACTAAAACACAAAGAAAATGTGAATATACTGACTCACATGTTCGTCATGAACGGCCGAATGCAGAAAAGTTTTCCTTAATTACGACTCATTTCACAATTTTATTATTACCAACCACCACAAACTGAGAGTTTATTTAGAAAATCTGATCATCGTAAGTTAGACATAAAACATAAACCAGTATCCATTTATTAATGCACAAAGTCAGGCATCAAAATGATACCTGTACAATAGTAAGAGGCGTGTAATTAATCCAGTTTTACTTATTCAACACAATACGTCTCATTCAGAAATCACCTCGGTGAGATTCTTGGAAGGAGGTGGAGAGCTGCTGGTGGCTCCCGAGCTCCAGGTTGGAGACTCCTGCCCTAAATGAATAATAATTGAAGTTCATTTGTGTTGGTAACTAACTACAGCGATCTCTTCTGTTTATATTTTATAACTATAAAGCCACTTCTTCAGTTAAATTGCCTTTATTTTCAATTTACGTGGCTAAATCTGTATTTCTAGAGCTAATTTTTTTTGGATAAAAGAAGATTAAAGAAAATGTTTTGTTTTGCTTATGGAAGTCTGCAGTAACAGTAACTGGTGTAAAAGAAAAAACCTCTTAAATGAACAGCAAAGCCTCATATTCAAACTAATAGTTAAAGTGCATTTGATGGATTAATATATATATTTTTTCTAGTTATGAATTGGTTTGTTTGGGGAGTATCTATGGTGAATATTTATTACAGTTTTACATCAGTCAAGTGGAAATTTGTGAAGAAAAGTAGAAAACAGAACATAGAGGAAGTAGAACAGAATCATCAGCGTCACAGAAAACACAAATGCAAAGACAATTCACACTCAGGGAAGAATATTTTCTGACTTTTTAATCGTTGAATTGACAAAATAGAGTTTGTGATTTTCCCGCGTGTTCTCGTGTTTGATTCTTTGACCTTTGTTTACAGGATGATGGTGTGTGGAGTTCTGGCCCTGATCCTGAGCTGGGCGTCTCTCGGAGCAGAACTGGCAACGGCTGTGGTAAAAAACACTCACACTGCATCATGGGAAAACTCTTTTAGTGTATTTAAAGCGATTCTTCAATCTGCAAAATCTACTTTTTAGAGATTTTAACCAATAGTTTCCCTTTGAAGTTGTATTTAGAGTGATTCATGCATGAGTGATCTTTGTTTCTCTGTATTTAAGACCTCATTGCTCAGATTTATTGTTCTGTACTTCATTCTCCATTTTTATTTTTGATTCAATATTTAAGTGATGATACACAAAGGTTTGGGCAGTGTTATGAAGCCAATTTAGTACAAAAAAAAGCAGCGTCAGGTCGTCTTGGGTTCTGCAGTTTTCCAGCCCAGATGCCAGCAGACTTGTGTCTTTTATTAAGTAGTTTTAGATGAATATTGTGATTTAAAATGTTTAAATTATAACAGAATAATCAGTGGGTGTCATAGATTATAACTACAGTATATAACAGATAAAAGCCTCTTGTTACATGACAAAAGAGAGTGAAGTGTTTCCTTTGTCCCCTGTAAAAATGCAGGCGTGACTTGATGAAGAACAAAGTCCATATTTACCGGACTCTGTCACCGCTACGGCCGCCTCGACATAACAGCACCAAACAGGAGTTAATATAGAAATCTAAACAGCTCCAGCAGAGATGGCTGAGCAGATCGCTGCAGTGGAGGACTACCTGACCTGTCCTGTGTGTCTGGACACTTTTAAAGAACCAGTGACTCTGGGCTGTAACCACAGCTTCTGTTCAGACTGTGTCCGTGGATACTGGGACAAGAACAACACCAGGATCTGCCCCGTCTGCAGGAGGAAGTCCTCAAAGGAGCTTGTTATTGTGAACTTTGCGTTAAAAGAGCTGTGTATGTCTTTCACTGAGAAACAGAAGTTAAAGGACACAGCTGCAGTCTGCAGGTCTCACCCAGAGGTGCCTCCTCTCTTCTGCACACACGAGACTCGACTTTTGTGTCCTGTGTGTGAGTTTTCCGAGCACAGAGGTCACAGAGTGGTGCCTCTGGAGACGGCAGAGAGGAACCTGAGGGAGCAGCTTCAGTCTCAGGTGGAGGATCTGAGGAGGCACAGAGCAGAGGCCCAGAGTCTGGAGCAGAGCTACAGAGAGACACAGCAGCACGTGCACAGACAGGCCGAGCTCTGTGAGATAAACATCAGAGCAGAGTTTGACCTGTTACACAAGTTCCTCAAAGAGGAGGAGGAGCTCCAGCTCTCTGCGCTCAGGGAGGAGCAGGACAGACAAACCCAGAGCATCGACTCTCAGCTGAGGAGACTCACAGACACACTGGCCTCTCTGGAACAGAACATCCACGAGCTGGAGAAGCAGCTGCACAAGAAAGCAGAGGACTTCCTCCAGTCCTACAGCCGACTGCAGAGCCCCAAAGAGCCTCCAAAACCCCTCCCTCCGCTGAGGGCCGGACTGCTCATAAACCGAGCCAAAGTCCTGGGAAACCTGGCCTTCAGAGTCTGGAGGAAGATGAGGAGAATAGTCCAGTTCAGTCCAGTGATTCTGGACTCAAACACTGCCCACCCAGCGCTTCATGTGTCCGAGGACATGACCTGCATGAAGAGAAGAACAAAGCCTCTGGATCGGCCTCAGAACACAGAGAGGTTCAGTGAAGATGTGCTTGTGCTGGGCTCAGAGGGCTTCAGCTCTGGGACACATGTTTGGGACATGGAGGTGGGAGACCATCCACAGTGGTTCATCGGAGTAGCTGAAGAATCAGTCAACAGGAAAGAGAAACTTTTCCCTACTCCTGAAAATAGAATTTGGTCTGTAGGATTTTACGATGATCATTATCTTGCTTCAGACGCGACTCTGAACATTACAAAGCGTCCAGAGAAGATCCAGGTGCAGCTGGACTGTGACAGAAGAACAGTGTCCTTCTATGACTGCAGTGACATGTCTCTGATTTACTCTTACAAAAACACTGGCACTAAGAAACTCTTCCCGTTGTTCGGAGTTGGACCCACTGACGCCGTCTGTCAGACCAAAGAGCTCAGGATCTGCCCAGACTCTGCCCAGGACCTGAACTGACCACTGGGACTTTCCTTTGATTGTGACTATAAACTAAACTATTCCTCTAAACATTTGATTTTATTTTTTTTGTATTCTATGACATAATCAGTTTGTTGGTTCCGTTTGTTGGTTCTGTTGGTTCCGGGTGGGAGTTTTGAAAAGTGGAAAGTCCGAGGATCCTTGGTTTACAAAAAATTATGTTTTTATATTCTGAGAAAAATGCCGGAGATTATGTGATGTTATAAAAATGGACTGGTTGGTTACCTGAGTAATTGTCAGTGGGCAGTTGGAGGCCGTGGGTTTTTGGACCATGTTTATTGTCTGAGGATGTTGTTTGTCCAAAGTGTTGGATTAAATCTGCTGTGTGAAGAAACGTCCTGGGCTGTGGTTTTTACACTGACGCCTCCAAGACGCTCGGACAAACACAAACACTAATATCATAATGTTCCACAGCAGAAATATGTAGTTTTCAAGATATTTTATAAACTATAAAGACACTTTTAATTGAATAAATAACATACATGAGTTGAATACTACAGTATCCACTGGAACTCCATGTATATGTATATAATTATAATATCAGAAAACATGAGCCGCAGTGACCTGTAGCAGGTCTAAACTGGACTAAAGCGGTTCTTCTTGAGAACTAACACAAAGATTAGATTAGACTGCCCTTGTACAAATGACCATATTTCCTGCACTATAGTTCACTCTGGATTATAAGGCGAACTGTCACTGAATGATCTATTTTCAAACTTTTTTCACAAATAAACCTCACCGGACTATAAACAAAACACAACAGTTCGATAAGTCAGTCAAACTTTATTTAACACGTTCAACATAACTCTCAACTTTGTTCAGTTGTAACGTGTAAATAAATCCTGTCTGAGACGTTAAATTGTTCTCGTATTCAAAGTCATAATAGTTGAAACAGTTGTGTGATTCTGTCGTCCACACGTCCACATCCGTCTGTCATGATCTCGTCAGTGTGGTTCTTGTTCCCTGGAGTTCAGTTCAGTGATGATTCTGGTCTTGGTGAAAGCTCGGACCACAGTTGATCCTGACCCTTCGCCCGGGCGTCCACGATCCGTCGGCAGATCGTGGCGTAAGTGGCTCGGCGCTGTTTTCTCTCTGTCTCTGTCTCTCTCTCTGTCTCTCTGTCTCTCTGTCTCTCTGTCTCTCTGTCTCTGTCTCTCTGTCTCTCTGTCTCTGTCTCTCTCTCTCTGTCTCTCTGTCTCTCTGTCTCTCTGTCTCTCTCTCTGTCTCTCTGTCTCTCTGTCTCTCTGTCTCTCTGTCTCTCTGTCTCTCTGTCTCTGTCTCTGTCTCTCTGTCTCTCTGTCTCTCTGTCTCTCTGTCTCTCTGTCTCTCTGTCTCTGTCTCTCTGTCTCTCTCTCTGTCTCTCTCTCTGTCTCTCTGTCTCTCTGTCTCTCTGTCTCTCTGTCTCTCTGTCTCTCTGTCTCTCTGTCTCTCTGTCTCTCTGTCTCTCTGTCTCTCTGTCTCTCTGTCTCTCTGTCTCTCTGTCTCTGTCTCTCTGTCTCTCTGTCTCTGTCTCTCTGTCTCTCTCTGTCTCTCTGTCTCTGTCTTGGTGAATGTTTGTTCTCCTTCTCTCATCCACTGCTCCCACTCAGCTAAACGCACTTTCACTTTACAACAGTCTTGAGTTTAAAGTGGGCGTTGTGAGCGAGTCTCTTGACAGGTGCATTTTGAGATTAAAAGAATCACAGTCTGTTTTACTCCTGATCCTGATGACGGGAGCCGTGATGCTGCAAGTGGAGCGGCTTTGTACTTTACTAAAGTTGTACTAAAACACAACAATAAATTCATATATAAGACGCTCTGGATTCTAAGGCACACACTCGTTTTTTGGAGGAAAGTAAAGACTTTTAAGTGCGTCCTATAGTGCAGAAAATACGGTACAACAAAACTTTGATGGAGCAAAACAACAACATTATCTACAATTAATGCAAGAAAAAACAGATGGATAAAAGGTAGAAAATTAAAGAGTCTCCGTTCCTTTTGCCAGTTCCTCTTTATTCCTTAATAAGTTTTTGTTGTTGTTTTTTGTGTTTTTTCAGGGCACGAGTGACTTCTGCGTGGCCCCGGACAGGTTCCTCATGAGCCAGACTCAGGGCATCGTTGGAGGTGGTAAGAGCTTCACTAAAACGAGTGGCAGCTTCAGCCTGAGCTAACACGAGCTAAGACGAGCTAACGGGCTAAGACGAGCTAACGGGCTAAGACGAGCTAACGGGCTAAGACGAGCTAACGGGCTAAGACGAGCTAACGGGCTAAGACGAGCTAACGGGCTAAGACGAGCTAACGGGCTAAGACGAGCTAACGGGCGAGTGTGTAGTGAGCTAACGCCGCCAGCCTAACGCTCTGCTAAACACAAACACACACCTGGACGGGCTCAGTGACTCTCACACTCGTCACAGAAAACTCTGAGATTAAGGACGAGACCAGAACTAAACCCAGAGAGTTGAATTTAAGCTTTTCAGTTTTATTTCAATCACTTTGACACTAAAGTCTAAACTGACGGCTGAAGGAGCAAATACTCGAGTATAAACGAGTGTATCTCCATTTTCAAGCCTTAACTCTCATATCAAAACTACTAAACTTCATCAACGTTTACAAACCAAAACACGGTGGTTTTTTTTTACATTTTTAGGCCATAGGTTTAGTCTCGGCTTTGGTGGGGACATTATCGTCTTTCCAAACACACAGACTCTGGGCAGGTCCAAAATAAGTGACAAGTGGTTTCATTTTTCAGTTTGTGTCCGTTGTTCTTCCAAGATGATTGTTCAGTGGAGAACAGAGATGTAGAAGTTTGTGCAGATTTCCCTTTGTTTGTTGGTGGTGAGATATTTGTGAGCTCATGTCCAACATTGTTCCACTGAATATTGTCAGTAGAATCGAGGTCTCACAGGGCACGAGTAGAGCTCCGTTTGGTGCGTGAGTAGGGCTCCGTTTGGTGCGTGAGTAGAGTTCCGTTTGGTGCGTGAGTAGAGTTCTGTTTGGTGCGCGAGTAGAGTTCTGTTTGGTGCGCGAGTAGAGTTCCGTTTGGTGCGCGAGTAGAGTTCTGTTTGGTGCGCGAGTAGAGTTCCGTTTGGTGCGTGAGTAGAGTTCCGTTTGGTGCGTGAGTAGAGTTCCGTTTGGTGCGCGAGTAGAGCTCCGTTTGGTGCGCGAGTAGAGTTCCGTTTGGTGCGCGAGTAGAGTTCCGTTTGGTGCGTGAGTAGGACTCCGTTTGGTGCGTGAGTAGGACTCCGTTTGGTGCGCGAGTAGAGTTCCGTTTGGTGCGCGAATAGAGCTCCGTTTGGTGCGCGAGTAGAGCTCCGTTTGGTGCGCGAGTAGAGTTCCGTTTGGTGCGCGAGTAGAGCTCCGTTTGGTGCGCGAGTAGAGCTCCGTTTGGTGCGCGAGTAGAGCTCCGTTTGGTGCGCGAGTAGAGTTCCGTTTGGTGCGTGAGTAGGACTCTGTTTGGTGCATGAGTAGAGTTCCGTTTGGTGCGTGAGTAGAGTTCCGTTTGGTGCGTGAGAAGAGCTCCGTTTGGTGCGTGAGTAGAGCTCCGTTTGGTGCGCGAGTGCGCGAGTAGAGTTCCGTTTGGTGCGTGAGTAGGACTCCGTTTGGTGCATGAGTAGAGTTCCGTTTGGTGCGTGAGTAGAGTTCCGTTTGGTGCGTGAGTAGAGCTCCGTTTGGTGCGTGAGTAGAACTCCGTTTGGTGTGTGAGTAGAGTCCCGTTTGGTGCGCGAGTAGAGTTCCGTTTGGTGCGCGAGTAGAGTTCCGTTTGGTGCGCGAGTAGAGTTCCGTTTGGTGCGCGAGGAGAGTTCCGTTTGGTGCGCGAGGAGAGTTCCGTTTGGTGCGCGAGGAGAGTTCCGTTTGGTGCGCGAGGAGAGTTCCGTTTGGTGCGCGAGTAGAGTTCCGTTTGGTGCGCGAGTAGAGGTGCGCGAGTAGAGTTCCGTTTGGTGCGCGAGTAGAGTTCCGTTTTGGTGCGCGAGTAGAGTTCCGTTTGTGCGCGAGTAGAGCGTTTGGTGCGAGTAGAGTTCCGTTTTGGTGCGCGAGTAGAGTTCCTCCTCGTTTGGTGCGCGAGTAGAGCTCCGTTTGGTGCGCGAGTAGAGTTCCGTTTGGTGCGCGAGTAGAGTTCCGTTTGGTGCGTGAGTAGGACTCTGTTTGGTGCGTGAGTAGAGTTCCGTTTGGTGCGTGAGTAGAGTTCCGTTTGGTGCGTGAGAAGAGCTCCGTTTGGTGCGTGAGTAGAGCTCCGTTTGGTGCGCGAGTAGAGCTCCGTTTGGTGCGCGAGTAGAGTTCCGTTTGGTGCATGAGTAGGACTCTGTTTGGTGCATGAGTAGAGTTCCGTTTGGTGCGTGAGTAGAGTTCCGTTTGGTGCGTGAGTAGAGCTCCGTTTGGTGCGTGAGTAGAACTCCGTTTGGTGTGTGAGTAGAGTCCCGTTTGGTGCGCGAGTAGAGTTCCGTTTGGTGCGCGAGTAGAGAGTTCCGTTTGGTGCGCGAGTAGAGTTCCGTTTGGTGCGCGAGTAGAGTTCCGTTTGGTGCGCGAGTAGAGTTCCGTTTGGTGCGCGAGTAGAGTTCCGTTTGGTGCGCGAGGAGAGTTCCGTTTGGTGCGCGAGGAGAGTTCCGTTTGGTGCGCGAGGAGAGTTCCGTTTGGTGCGCGAGGAGAGTTCCGTTTGGTGCGCGAGTAGAGTTCCGTTTGGTGCGCGAGTAGAGTTCCGTTTGGTGCGCGAGTAGAGTTCCGTTTGGTGCGCGAGTAGAGCGTTTGGTGCGCGAGAGAGTTCCGTTTGGTGCGCGAGGAGAGTTCCGTTTGGTGCGCGAGTAGAGTTCCGTTTGGTGCGCGAGTAGAGTTCCGTTTGGTGCGCGAGTAGAGTTCCGTTTGGTGCGCGAGTAGAGTTCCGTTTGGTGCGCGAGTAGAGCTCCGTTTGGTGCGCGAGTAGAGCTCCGTTTGGTGCGCGAGTAGAGCTCCGTTTGGTGCGCGAGTAGAGTTCCGTTTGGTGCGCGAGTAGAGTTCCGTTTGGTGCGTGAGTAGGACTCTGTTTGGTGCGTGAGTAGAGTTCCGTTTGGTGCGTGAGTAGAGTTCCGTTTGGTGCGTGAGAAGAGCTCCGTTTGGTGCGTGAGTAGAGCTCCGTTTGGTGCGCGAGTAGAGCTCCGTTTGGTGCGCGAGTAGAGTTCCGTTTGGTGCATGAGTAGGACTCTGTTTGGTGCATGAGTAGAGTTCCGTTTGGTGCGTGAGTAGAGTTCCGTTTGGTGCGTGAGTAGAGCTCCGTTTGGTGCGTGAGTAGAACTCCGTTTGGTGTGTGAGTAGAGTCCCGTTTGGTGCGCGAGTAGAGTTCCGTTTGGTGCGCGAGTAGAGTTCCGTTTGGTGCGCGAGTAGAGTTCCGTTTGGTGCGCGAGGAGAGTTCCGTTTGGTGCGCGAGGAGAGTTCCGTTTGTGAGTGGTAGAGTTCCGTTTGTGAGTGAGTAGAGTTCCGTTTGGTGAGTGAGTAGAGTTCCGTTTGGTGAGTGAGTAGAGCTCCGTTTGGTGCGCGAGTAGAGTTCCGTTTGGTGCGTGAGGAGAGCTCCGTTTGGTGCGTGAGTAGAGTTCCGTTTGTTCTTGTGGTGATAGTTGCTCTTTTTCCGCTGTGATTCGTTATAAAACGAGTTTAACTGAAAATGAAGCCGAGTCAGTTCCTTCTGTAAAGTTTCTCAGACTTTGCCGCTGCTCAAGTCGACGTCGTCAGGTGCGGCCCTGTCCTGCCGCTTCCCCAGTTTAGGCTCGTGGCTCCACTGATGACATCACTCTGGAGTAAACCTGTCGTCACGTCACTGAACACGTCTCACAACGTCTAAGAAACAAAATGTGAACTAAAATATGTTCAGTTAAAACCAGTGAGTTTTGTAAAATGTCTGAATACGTTTATATTTTGGTTTATCAAAATAAAATGTCAAGTATTGGTTTGGACTATTTTATCTTCTCCAGATATAGTTGTGACACGTCCCCACCGTCGCTGTGCAAACCTCTTGGTCATTTAATGTGTCGTTCACAAACTTTACTTCTTCAGATTCAAAGTGAAGAGGATTTGACAGATTTATGAAAAGTTTCATAACACAATCACTTTAAAGACGGATCATTATATTGAACCATTTATCTAAAGCAGCACTGCGTAACCTTCTGGAGGACGTCAGACACCAGCAGCAGGAAAGTTAAAGCCACACTTGGGAGTTTTCTCCATAGAGACAAATAAGAAACATAGAAGTGTACAGCGCAGTAGCACAAAAACCTGAGAACCAGATCCATGACAGAAACATCATCTTTATAGAAGGATTTATGTTTGGAATATAAAGTGATACTAATGTCATTTATGTACGAATAATTGTACTGTTTTGCTCCTCTTTGTTTCCACAGATATCGTCCACTATTACCTGTACTGCAACCAGACGCTGAACAACCCCTTCCAACAGGTACGGCTCTTTTATTTCACTCTAACGAAAACTTTCAGCACTAAAGAACAGAGTCGATACACAGAACGAATCTGATCCACGATGAGAAAAAGCCTCAGAATCTGATTTTCCACATGAAACAGTAGAACTTTCTTTTCTGTTCCCATGAGTCTTTATGAACCAGGTCTAAACCAGGTCTAAACCAAGTCTAAACCAGGTCTAAACCCTAAACCAGGTCTAAACCAGGTCTAAACCAGGGCTAAACCAGGTCTAAACCAGGTCTAAACCAGGTCTAAACCAGGTCTAAACCAGGTCTAAACCAGGGCTAAACCAGGTCTAAAACCAGGTCTAAACCAGGTCTAAACCAGGTCTAAACCAGGTCTAAACCAGGTCTAAACCAGGTCTAAACCAGGTCTTAACCAGGTCTGAACCAGGTCTTTACCAGGTCTAAACCAGGTCTAAACCAGGTCTAAACCAGGTCTAAACCAGGTCTGAACCAGGACTAAATCAGGTCTAAATCAGGTCTAAACCAGGTCTTTACCAGGTCTAAACCAGGTCTTTACCAGGTCTAAACCAGGTCTAAACCAGGTCTAAACCAAGACTAAACCAGGTCTAAACCAGGTCTGAACCAGGTCCATGGGTTTATTCTCGTCTTTTACACTTGTTCAGTTTGTTCTAAACACATTCAGGAAACGTTCTGCTCTGTCCTGAAAATGGGACTTTTTTAGGATCAATTTCAGCATAAAATGAGGATCTAGTTTTGATATTAGTTTTAGTATCGGTGATTGTGTGATTTTCGATACTTTTGAAGCTCTAAACAAAAGTACAAATTTATCAAAAGGAGGTCATGTTTTCTGTGCACCTCCGGCCCACAGTTTGAGAAGCTGCGCTCTGGTTTTTTTCTACTCGGGTCTGAATCTGAACTGAACAAACCACCTTCGCTTTGTGGATTTTCTGCCTCTCTTCCTCCATCTTTGTCAAACCTCTCTCCTCTTTCTCCTCTTCCTCCTTCTCTTCCTCCTCTTCCTCTTCCTCCCTGTTTCCTCTCGTCTTAACCTGTCAGACCCATGGAAAGTCCGCAGAAAAACAGTCTGTTATAGAGCGATCGTAGTAGTAACAAACAAACGAGTAGTTTAGTAGTATGTTGTAGTAGTATCATCTGTATGTAGTAGTAGTAATAATAGTAGTAGTAGTAGTAGTAGTAGTAGTAGTAGTAGTAGTAGTAGTAGTAGTAGTAGTAGTAGTAGTAGTAGTAGTAGTAGTAGTAGTAGTAGTAGTAGTAGTAGTAGTAGTAGTAGTAGTAGTAGTAGTAGTAGTAGTAGTAGTAGTAGTAGTAGTAGTAGTAGTAGTAGTAGTAGTAGTAGTAGTAGTAGTAGTAGTAGTAGTAGTAGTAGTAGTAGTAGTAGTAGTAGTAGTAGTAGTAGTAGTAGTAGTAGTAGTAGTAGTAGTAGTAGTAGTAGTAGTAGTAGTAGTAGTAGTAGTAGTAGTAGTAGTAGTAGTAGTAGTAGTAGTAGTAGTAGTAGTAGTAGTAGTAGTAGTAGTAGTAGTAGTAGTAGTAGTAGTAGTAGTAGTAGTAGTAGTAGTAGTAGTAGTAGTAGTAGTAGTAGTAGTAGTAGTAGTAGTAGTAGTAGTAGTAGTAGTAGTAGTAGTAGTAGTAGTAGTAGTAGTAGTAGTAGTAGTAGTAGTAGTAGTAGTAGTAGTAGTAGTAGTAGTAGTAGTAGTAGTAGTAGTAGTAGTAGTAGTAGTAGTAGTAGTAGTAGTAGTAGTAGTAGTAGTAGTAGTAGTAGTAGTAGTAGTAGTAGTAGTAGTAGTAGTAGTAGTAGTAGTAGTAGTAGTAGTAGTAGTAGTAGTAGTAGTAGTAGTAGTAGTAGTAGTAGTAGTAGTAGTAGTAGTAGTAGTAGTAGTAGTAGTAGTAGTAGTAGTAGTAGTAGTAGTAGTAGTAGTAGTAGTAGTAGTAGTAGTAGTAGTAGTAGTAGTAGTAGTAGTAGTAGTAGTAGTAGTAGTAGTAGTAGTAGTAGTAGTAGTAGTAGTAGTAGTAGTAGTCAGGGGTGTAGCTGTACAAAAATCACAGTTTTGTACGTCCCTCGGTTTTGACTTCACAGTTTGGTTTATTTTCGGTTCAATTTGGGAACAAAATACAAAACCATTTTCTTGTTGTTTATTTGTGTTTTTATTAAACCAACAGTTGTTTAAACTTTATACAAACGTGAAAATAAAATAAATGCAAAGTGCTGCTTGGTGAAACTAATAAGTTCAATAAAATATTCTCAAATAAGCAACAAATGTTTGAAATATTACTTAAAAAAATTATAAATTTCTTATAAATGGTAAACAAAACTTTTCCAAAGTGCAGCACCAACAGTTCCAGCTTTCTGGAAACTTCAGATTTTTGGCCAGAAAAAAAAAACAAAACTTCTCCACATTGTCTGCAGCGACTGAGACTAACACTTTCACTCAGGTCAGAGGTCGCGGGTAGAAGAGGTTCTCGGAGGTTCTGTGCTGGTGAAAGGTGAGAGTGAGGAGTGAGAGTGAGGAGTGAGAGTGAGGAGTGAGAGCGAGGAGTCAGAGTGAGGAGTGAGAGCGAGGAGTCAGAGTGAGGAGTGAGAGTGATGAGTAAGGAGTGAGAGTGAGGAGTGAGAGAGGAGTAAGGAGTGAGAGTGAGGAGTGAGAGTGAGAGTGAGAGTGAGGAGTGAGAGTGAGGAGTGAGAGTGAGGAGTGAGGAGTGAGAGCGAGGAGTCAGAGTGAGGAGTGAGAGCGAGGAGTCAGAGTGAGGAGTGAGAGTGAGAGTGATGAGTAAGGAGTGAGAGTGAGGAGTGAGAGTGAGAGTGATGAGTAAGGAGTGAGAGTGAGGAGTGAGAGTGAAGAGTGAGAGTGATGAGTGAGAGTGAGGAGTGAGAGTGATGAGTGAGAGTGAGGAGTGAGAGTGAGTGAGGAGTAAGGAGTGAGAGTGAGGAGTGAGAGTGAGGAGTGAGAGTGAGGAGTAAGGAGTGAGAGTGAGGAGTGAGAGTGAGAGTGAGAGTGAGAGTGAGGAGTGAGAGTGAGAGTGAGGAGTGAGAGTGAGGAGTGAGAGTAAGAGTGAGAGTGAGTGGAGTGAGGAGTGAGGAGTGAGGAGTGAGAGTGAGGAGTAAGCGAGTGAGGAGTGAGAGTGAGGAGTAAGGAGTGAGAGTGAGGAGTAAGGAGTGAGAGTGAGGAGTGAGAGTGAGGAGTAAGGAGTGGAGTGAGGAGTGAGAGTAAGGAGTGAGAGTGAGGAGTGAGAGTGAGGAGTGTGAGGAGTAAGGAGTGAGAGTGAGGAGTGAGGAGTGAGGAGTGAAGGAGTAAGAGTGAGAGTGAGGAGTAAGGAGTGAGAGTGAGGAGTGAGAGTGAGGAGTGAGAGTGAGGAGTGAGTGAGTGAGAGTGAGGAGGAGTGAGAGTGAGAGTGAGAGTGAGAGTGAGGAGTGAGAGTGAGGAGTGAGAGTGAGGAGTGAGGAGTAAGGAGTGAGAGTGAGGAGTGAGAGTAAGGAGTAAGGAGTGAGGAGTGAGAGTGAGAGTGAGAGTGAGGAGTGAGAGTGAGGAGTAAGGAGTGAGAGTGAGGAGTGAGAGTAAGGAGTGGAGTGAGGAGTGAGAGTGAGGAGTGAGAGTAAGGAGTGAGGAGTGAGGAGTGAGAGTGAGGAGTGAGGAGCGCGGCGTGACGACCGTAGTTTTGCAGGATTCTTATGTTTCAGAGAGACGTGCTCAGGTCGGGGGGCAGTTGTTGTGAAGTCGTCGCTCTGACTCTAAAACGCTGCAGGAAAAACTGAGCCAATCACAGACGAGTTCCTCCCTGAATATTAAAGAGTCGAGTCTCCGTGGAGCTGCACATGTAGTGACCAGTGTGGGGAGGGTCACTTTTAAAATGTAATCCCCTACAGATTACAGATTACACACACCAAAATGTAGTTTGTAACGTAATCCATTAAATTACTTAAAGTGAATAATGTAATCTGATTACTTTGGATTACTTGATTTGCTGTAGAGAAACAAAGACGAGGAAATCTTCACATAAGAAGTTTTATCTGATAAAAGAAAATAAAAAACCCAGACTTTACTGAACCAAATTAAAAATATTATTGATAGAAAATGAAGAAACACGTCCACACAGCAGGATTTAGTCCTGGTTTAGTCCTGGTTTAGTCCTGGTTTAATCCTGGTTTAGTCCTGGTTTAGACCTGGTTTTAGACCTGGTTTAGACCTGTTTTAGTCCTGGTTTAGACCTGGTTTTAGTCCTGGTTTAGACCTGGTTTTAGACCTGGTTTTAGACCTGGTTTTAGTCCTGGTTTAGTCCTAGTTTAGATCTGGTTTAGATCTGGTCTAGACCTGGTTTAGTCCTGGTTTAGATCTGGTTTAGACCTGGTTTAGACCTGGTTTAGTCCTGGTTTAGACCTGGTTTAGACCTGGTTTAGATCTGGTTTAGATCTGGTTTAGACCTGGTTTAGACCTGGTTTAGACCTGGTTTAGTCCTGGGTTTAGACCTGGTTTAGACCTGGTTTAGTCCTGGGTTTAGATCTGGTTTAGACCTGGTTTAGACCTGGTTTAGACCTGGTTTAGACCTGGTTTACCTGGTTTAGTGTCCGGCAATGAGTGGAATCACCGAGAAAAAAAAAAAAAAAAGGATTTAGCCCAAAATGTGAAAACAGTAAAATCCCTCTGTGTAATCCATTTATTTCAACAAAGTAACTGTAATCCAATTACCACTCACTGAAACAGTAACTGTAACTGAATACAGTTACTCATCATTTGTACTCTGATTACATAACTCCGGTACTTGTAGTGACCGAATGTAAACACACACAAACTGCACAAACTCACTGCTGCACAGACCTGAACCAAACCCAACATCCCACAACAAAACAATTCAGCACAAACACATGAATCGTTACAGCACCAGTAACAGCTGCATTTATAGTTTTTGTTACAGTGAGATATAAACTGGACCATAGAAAGTCACTGTTTCTTTTGGATGATGATTAACACAAACATTATGGGCCCTAAGTTCGACCCCTGTGGAACCCCTTTACTCCTTCATGTGACTGTAGTGCACAAAACTGATTTAACCGATCGTTTGACTCCAGCGTTTCAGTCTTTAAACCGCTGCTCTGTTTACCCATAATGCTTTGTTCATGTCACATGTTTTTAATCATTATGACTCTGTTCTTCTCTGCAGCCGCTGGCGATTTTCCAGAGGTCCATGACCACGATGCAGATCCAGATCCAGGCCCTGCTCCAGTTCGCCGTGCCCCTGTTTCCCACCGCAGAGGTACTGGGCTGGAGGTTTTAGTGTCGGGGCAGAGCAGCGTGGTTCTGATTTGAAGCAGATGTCTCATAATAAATCAGTCTGACTTTATTTATCCCCGAGGACAGTTTGAGCTCTGAGCAGCGAAAGACAATAACAACAGAAAAGCTCCAAAGTCTCAGTGCAGCTCCTCAGGTCGAGGTCGAGTCAGGTCGAGTCAGGTCTGTGTCAGGGCGGTGTGAGTAACATCCCTCTGGACAAATGTGTCTCTTGTCCCTGTTCGGTGTAAAAATCAGACATCTCCATGCAGGGTCGCCATGGAAACAGAAAAAACAAACCGCTCAAATCACACAATCCAACAGAACTTTTTCACATCGGTCTGAAGTGTCGCGCTGGAGGTTTGTGGAACCTCCGGTTAATGTAATGAGAAGAAAGACAAAAACTTAAAGGAAACAACGAGCCACATTAGTCACACAACAAACTAAACTCATGTTCTGATCCTGAAGAAAACAGAAGAACTTGTTCACTCAGACTGAATCTACAATTAAAATTAAAAATCTATTTCATGATGTGGAGATTTGCACAGACTCAGAGATTTGTGACGTTTAAATGTGAGAGTCTCGAGGATTGGATTGTTGTTTCCTTTAAGTTTTGTTCTTTCTTCTCTTGATGGTTGTGGATAAATTGTTCATGAAGAATGTTTCTCCTTTGTGGAGCTTTTTCCGGTTCTGGACCAGAAAAAGTCGTCTTGTCGTCTCCGGGTGGAGAGTCTCTGCCTCAGGTCGAGTTCAACTTTCGAGGTCTTGTTCTGGAGTGAGGGGAGGATGGACTGACAGGTGGACAGGTGCAGCGTGGGCAGTGATGCGGTCGCTGTATCGGTCGTTGTGGTGAAGAGGAGCTCTGTTCCTCCCCTCACCTCTGGTCATGACCCGAAGGACCAGATCCACGACACAAGAGACACAGATGAGTTTCCTCCACAGGGCGTCTCCCTCAGAGACAGAGGTCGGAGCTCGGAGTAGAGCCGCTGCTCCTCCACGTGGAGAGGAGCGTCTGAGGGGAGGACGTCTGTTCTGATGTCTCCTGGACGTGTCCCTCAGGAGGTGTTCATGTCCCAGCAGGAGGAGACCCAGGACACACTGGAGGGACGATGTGTCTGGACTGGACTGGGAACACCTCAGGTCCCACTGGAGGAGCTGGAGGAAGTGTCTGGGGTGAAGGAAGTCTGGGAGTCTCTGTTCAGACTGATGCTCCTGAGACTCGACCCCAGAGAAGAAGAAGAACATGGATGGATGGATTTTGACACAGAAAACCATTACTTGGAAGTTCCACAAACCTTCCCGAGCCGGACGTCTGGTCCTGTGAAAAAAATCTATAATCCTCAACTTCTGTTTTTTGAACTGCACAAGAAGATCTTAGTTGGTCAAAATCCCCCAAAGTGAAGTAAAACATTTAAGATACGTTTGAGTCTTGGTGTTGATCTCCTCTGTGTTCCTCTGAATCTAAAGAACATGTTACTGATTTCTTTGATGCAAAGTTTAAAAAATGACCAATGTCTGAAACTCAATGTAAAAAAAGATCATTTGTTTTAACTTTTACCCAAAAGAAGCTTCATAAACACACGTTTTTAAATAGTGACATTTATTTTAAAAACCTGATCAGACACAAACGTGTGACTGGACCAAACCTGATGATTCTGTTTATTTCTCACAGAGAGATCTTCTGGGGATCCAGAAAGTCCTGAACTCGTCTGAGTCGAGTCTGCACCAGCTCACGGCTCTGCTGGACTGTCGAGGACTCAACAAGGTATCGCCCCCTGCTGGACACGCTTCACATTTACAACAGAAAACAAAACAAACAAACAAACAAACAAAACAAACAAACAAACAAACAAACAAACAAACAAACAAAACAAAGTCCAACCCAAACTCAAGTCGTATCAATGACATTATTTCTGTTTAACATTTTGTACAAATCTTCATCAAAGTCACTCCATTTAAAACTTTATTAAATCTCAAAATCTGTGATAAATACTTTTACTTTTTACTCTTTAAGTATTTTTTTTTTTTTACTTGAGTACATTTACATAAGTCACAGAGTATTTCTTCCTCTGAATGTGAAACCGTTCACGAGTTTATCTGGAGATGTTTTTCTTTGGTGATGATGAGACTGGACAGGATCAGGTCACGAGTCACTGGGACCAGGAAAAGGTCTCTGTGCTTTAGTCCTGGTTTAGTCCTGGTTCAGTACAGGTTCAGTCCTGGTTCAGTCCTGTTTTAGTCCTGGTTTAGTCGTGGTTTAGTCCTGGTTCAGTCCTGGTTTAATCATGTTTTAGTCCTGGTTCAGTCCTGGTTTAGTCCTGTTTTAGTCGTGGTTCAGTCCTGGTTTAGTCCTGTTTTAGTCCTGGTTCAGTCCTGGTTTAATCATGTTTTAGTCCTGGTTCAGTCCTGGTTTAGTCCTGTTTTAGTCGTGGTTCAGTCCTGGTTTAGTCCTGTTTTAGTCCTGGTTCAGTCCTGGTTTAATCATGTTTTAGTCCTGGTTCAGTCCTGGTTTAGTCCTGTTTTAGTCCTGGTTCAGTCCTGGTTTAATCATGTTTTAGTCCTGGTTTAGTCCTGGTTTAGTCCTGGTTTAGTCCTGGTTTAGTCCTGGTTTAGTCCTGGTTTCAGTCCTGGTTTAGTCCTGGTTTTAGTCCTGGTTCAGTCCTGGTTTAGTCCTGGTTTAGTCCTGGTTCAGTCCTGGTTTAGTCCTGGTTTAGTCCTGGTTTCAGTCCTGGTTTAGTCCTGGTTAATCCTGGTTTCAGTCCTGGTTTAGTCCTGGTTTCAGTCCTGGTTCAGTCCTGGTTTAGTCCTGGTTCAGTCCTGGTTTAGTCCTGGTTTTAGTCCTGGTTTAGTCCTGGTTTAGTCCTGGTTTAGTCCTGGTTCAGTCCTGGTTTAGTCTGTTTTAGTCCTGGTTTAGTCCTGGTTTAGTCCTGGTTTAGTCCTGGTTTAGTCCTGGTTTAGTCCTGGTTTAGTCCTGGTTTAGTCCTGGTTTAGTCCTGGTTCAGTCCTGGTTTAGTCCTGGTTCAGTCCTGGTTCAGTCCTGGTTTAGTCCTGGTTCAGTTCTTGTTTTAAACCTGTTTTTTGTGCTCAGGACTACGTGGACTCGATGTTTGGTGTGTGTTATGACGGTGTGGAAGGCGTCTTGTACCTGTGTTTGTTTTCTCTGCTCTCGGCCGTCGCCTTCACCCTCATGTTGTGTTCGGTGCCTCGGGCCTGGAGACAGATCGCTGCCCGGTCAGTCCAAAAACACACTGCACCACCACCACCTGCACCACCACCACCTGCACCACCACCACCTGCACCACCACCACCACGCCCCAAATACACCAGAGAAATACACACCTAAAGCCGTGCACAGAAACCAGAAACAACACTAACACAAAAAACTCAACAAAAACAAGGATATGTACATGTACATATTTGGGACCTGGTGCTCAAAAGGAGGATGAAGTTTAAAAAAACATTTATAATGTTTTGGCCCAATATTCTACTCATTTTTACAAATCCACTTTATTTCTACAGCACATTTTACAAACAAAACAGTTTCCAAAGAGCTACACAGAAATTAGAAAATAAAGACAACAAATAATAATAATAAAAAATCTTTATTTAGAAAGAACGAACAAGGTTTACAAAATGTTGTACAAGCAGCAAAGAATAAAAAAGCACAGAAAACAAACAAACAAACAAACAAACAAAAAGGTAAACTGCTAAAATGTGGTCGCACCAGTCCTAAAACAATAAAACCACTAAAGTCAAATAAAAGAAAAAACATAAAAATGTAAATTAACATTAAATCAGTAAAATAAATAAAAGACTCAGAGGAGCACAGGACTCCTGTGGTGTTAAAGGGACAGTTTGGGTTTTTTGACATGAATCTGTGTGTCGTCCCCGTCAGCAGCGTCACATCCACACTGACTCACCCCCGACAGCGTCCGGTGAGTCCAGATCCTGGCCGATTTCGGTGCTGACGAAAGTCGTCCGGCAAGTTGTTCTGGGGACAGAATAATAAAGTGTTTTTCTTCTCAAAACAACATGTGTTAAAAAGAGTGACACATTTGCATCACAAAACCTCCGTCCTCTAAAAAGTCAAACCTCATAATCACTTGGCACTATTTTCTCTCCGTATGTATCACTGCGCCCTGCCGCCAGGTGACAGGTGCCTGGTTCACAGCCTGGAGAATCAAGAGTTTGCATCATTTTTTAGATATATTCTTATGTGTCTTATACTAACTTATATACTTATGGCTCTAGCTCTCACGTTAACTCTCTCACGTCGCGGCGTCTGAGCGTGTAAACACTGCTGAACAACTGCAGAAAGTGATGGATCAGTGTGCGGCTGTCACCTGGCGGCAGGGCGCAGTGATACGAACGGAGAGAAAATAGTGCCAAGTGATTATGAGGTCTGACTTTTTAGAGGACGGAGGTTTTGTGATGCAAATGTGTCACTCTTTTTAACACATGTTGTTTTGAGAAGAAAAACACTTTATTTTACAGTCCCCAGAACAACTTGCCGGACGACTTTCGTCAGCACCGAAAACGGCCAGGATCTGGACTCACCGGACGCTGTCGGGGGTGAGTCAGTGTGGATGTGACACTGCTGACGGGGACGACACATAGATACATGTCAAAAAACCCAAACTATCCCTTTAAAAACCAGAGAGTAAAAGTGTTTTTTTAAGTCAAGACTTAAAACTCTCCTCTGTTGGGACTTGGGGGGCAGAGTGTTTCAGAGTTTGGGTTCAGTCACAGAGAGAGCTCCTGGAAGAGCTCCTCAGCTCAGAGCTCAGACCTCAGAGCTCAGAGCTCAGACCTCAGAGCTCAGACCTCAGAGCTCAGACCTCAGAGCTCAGACCTCAGAGCTCAGAGCTCAGAGCTCAGAGCTCAGAGCTCAGACCTCAGAGCTCAGACCTCAGAGCTCAGACCTCAGAGCTCAGACCTCAGAGCTCAGACCTCAGAGCTCAGAGCTCAGAGCTCAGACCTCAGAGCTCAGAGCTCAGAGCTCAGACCTCAGAGCTCAGAGCTCAGTGGGAGTAAATCTGGAGGAGGTCTGAGACGTAACGTGGGACCAGAACATTCAAAACTTTAAAAACAAACAATAAAATCTAAAACAAACTTGAAGCCAGAGCAAAGACACTAAAATCACTGCACAGAAATCAGTTTTAAAAATCAAAATAAAAGTTCTTCATTGACAAAACAGAAACTGAACCTTTTGTCTCTCCTCAGTTTTAGTCAGTTTCATATTTGGTTGTTTGTGTTGAGACAAAATAATATTGACCTGATTTTGTGACTTGGACTTGGCGTTTCGTTGTGACTTGGTCTTGTTCCAGAGAGCGAGATTACGGCGACATCGATGAGGAGGATCCGTTTAACCCCAGAGCTCGAAGGACGAACTCCCAAACCCCCAACACAAACCTGCAGAGTCTGTGCAGCTACAGCAGCAGCCTGGGCAGCCAGAGCAGCGTCCACCGCCCCCCGGCCACCGCGACCACCACTGCAGCGCCTCTGGGAGAATATATGTGAGTACTACTACTACTACTACTACTACTACTAATACTACTACTACTAATACTAATCCTACGACTGCAGCACCTCTGGGAGAATATATGTGACTCCTGTTTTAGTCCTGTTTTAGACCTATTTATAGACCCATTTTTAGATCTGTTTTTAGACCTGTTTTAGACAGTCCCGGTTCAGTCCCGGTTCAGTCCCATTTTAGTCCTGGTTCAGTCCTGGTTTAGTCCTGTCTTAGTCTTGGTTTAGTCCTGTCTTAGTCTTGGTTTAGTCCTGGTTTAGTCCTGGTTTAGTCCTGGTCTCGTCTCTTCTCTGTGACCTTCTGCTCCTTGTTATTATTTTAAACCTGTTCCAAACTCGAGCTGAATAAAGATCTGGTCTGACCTTGGTCTGACTCAGCTGCAGGACCAAAAGAAAGACCAGAAAGACCAAAAGAAAGACCAAAAGAAAGACCAAGAGAAAGACCAGATTTAAACAACACTCACCACGTTTACACGAGAGATTTAACTCTGAACAAAAATCATTTAAACTGAACATAATCCTGAAGTACGTGTTTGTTTTATTCTGATTTTAAAGCTGATTTAATTTCGTTCCTGGATCCTGTTTGTCATTTGTTCTTGTTAAAAATTATTCCGGTCGTTCAGTTCGTGCTCGTTGAGTCCGGACGATCCGGCTCCACTAGTCCGGGAGTCTCTGGATTTTGATCCAAGTCCTGGTTTAGTGAGCGGGATAGTCCTGGTTTAGTGGGTTTAGGTTTAGTCCTGGTTTAGTCCTGGTTTAGTCCTGGTTTAGTCCTTGTTTTAGTCCTGGTTTAGTTTTCCTGGTTTTATAGTCCTGGTTTAGTCCTGGTTTAGTTTAGTCCTGGTTTAGTCCTGTTTAGTCCTGGTTTAGTCCTGGTTTAGTCCTGGTTTAGTTTAGTCCTGTTTAGTCCTGGTTTAGTCCTAGTCCTGGTTTAGTCCTGGTTTAGTCCTGGTTTAGTCCTGGTTTAGTCCTGGTTTAGTCCTGGTTTAGTCCTGGTTTAGTCCTGGTTTAGTCCTGGTTTAGTCCTGGTTTAGTCCTAGTCCTGGTTTAGTCCTGGTTTAGTCCTGGTTTAGTCCGCTGGTTTAGTCCTGGTTTAGTCCGGGTTTAGACCTGGTTTAGTCCTGGTTTACCTGGTTTAGTCCTTTAGTCCTGGTTTAGTCCTGGTTTAGTCCTGGTTTAGTCCTGGTTTATGGTTTAGTCCGGTTTAGTGGTTTAGTCCTGGTTTACCTGGTTTAGTCCTGGTTTAGTCCGGGTTTAGTCCTGGTTTAGTCCTGGTTTAGTCCTGGGTTTAGTCCTGGTTTAGTCCTGGTTTAGTTTAGTCCTGGTTTAGTCCTGGTTTATCCTGGTTTAGTCCTGGTTTAGTCCTGGTTTAGTCCTGGTTTAGTCCTGGTTTAAGTCCTGGTTTAGTCCTGGTTTAGTCCTGGGTTTAGTCCTGGTTTAGTCCTGGTTTAGTCCTGGGTTTAGTCCTGGTTTAGTCCTGGTTTAGTCCTGGTTTAGTCCTGGTTTAGTCCTGGTTTAGTCCTGGTTTAGTCCTGGGTTTAGTCCTGGTTTAGTCCTGGTTTAGTCCTGGTTTAGTCCTGGTTTAGTCCTGGTTTAGTCCTGGTTTAGTCCTGGTTTAGTTTCCTGGTTTAGTCCTGGTTTAGTCCTGGTTTAGTTTAGTCCTGGTTTAGTCCTGGTTTAGTTTAGTCCTGGTTTAGTCCTGGTTTAGTCCTGGTTTAGTCCTGGTTTAGTTTAGTCCTGGTTTAGTCCTGGTTTAGTCCTGGTTTAGGTTTAGTCCTGGTTTAGTCCTGGGTTTAGTCCTGGTTTAGTCCTGGTTTAGTCCTGGTTTAGTCCGGGTTTAGTCCTGGTTTAGTCCTGGTTTAGTCCTGGTTTAGTCCTGGTTTAGCCGGGTTTAGTCCTGGTTTAGTCCTGGTTTAGTCCTGGTTTAGTCCTGGTTTTGGTTTAGTTTAGTCCTGGTTTAGTCCTGGTTTAGTCCTGGTTTAGTCCTGGTTTAGTCCTGGTTTTAGTCCTGTTTAGTCCTGGTTTAGTCCTGTTTAGTCCTGGTTTAGTCCTGGTTTTCCTGGTTTAGTAGACCTGGTTTAGTCCTGGTTTAGTCCTGGTTTACCTGGTTTAGTCCTGGTTTAGTCCTGGTTTACCTGGTTTGTCCTGGTTTCCTGGTTTAGTCCTGGTTTAGTCCTGGTTTAGTCCTGGTTTAGTCCTGGTTTACCTGGTTTAGTCCTGGTTTTTAGTCCTGGTTTAGTCCTGGTTTAGTCCTGGTTTAGACCTGGTTTAGTCCTGGTTTAGTTTTAGTCCTGGTTTTAGTCCTGGTTTAGTCCTGGTTTAAGTCCTGGTTTAGTCCTGGTTTAGTCCTGTTTAGTGGTTTAGTCCGGGTTTAGTCCTGGTTTAGACCTGGTTTAGTCCGGGTTTAGTCCGGGTTTATAATCATGTTTTTCTTTGTTTTTGTCAGTATTCTCCGACCATGAGGGCCACGTATTTGTCCATGACCGAGGACCAGAACAGACACGTGCGAACATAGAGCCCCCTGCTGCCCGGAGGAGGAACTGCACCATCCCAGCCCGAGGAGCCAGGACCAGACCCGAGACCCGGACCCGGACCCGGACCCGGACCCAGGATCAGACCCAAAACCCAGGACCAAACCCCAGACCCGGACCCAGGACTCTGCTGGGTCTGGAGGGTTTATGTCAGACACAATATGGGCAGATTTCTGGATGAGTTTTGTGATAATGTGAAGAATAAATTAAAGTTAAACACTGGAACATTTTAAAAACACAAACTAAAGACTAAAAATGTTTGAGGAAATTAAAGATTGAGGATAAATTGGCTTCTGGAGAGTTTCCCCCCGAGGGACACGAAACGAGGTTTAGAAATATACTTCTCATGTCAGTTTGGAAACAGGTTATGGTTAAAGCTGCACTGTGTAACTTTTCTGGTGCTTGTTTCCATGGAGACGTCACTGCTCTGTCTGGAATGTTCCACAGCTCCACTTTACGTTTATTCAGTTATTTGAGCTCAAAAATCCCCAGAAAAACAGACTCCACAGATCTGACCTGGAACTTCTTTGGTCTGGTTTGGTCGCCGTGGAGATAGAAAAGTTTAATGCTGTACTGTGGAACATTTTGAAAGTTATTGCTGCTGGTGGAGGCTCCGACAAACACTTTTCTCCACGGAGGTTTTATTGTTTTCTGGAATAGTCCTGGTTTAGTCCTGGTTTTATTCTGGTTCATGTCAGATTTAGTCCTCTTCTAGTCCTGGTTTAGTCTTGGATTAGACCTGGTAAAGACCTGGTTTAGACCTTTGAATTGACCTGGTTTAGTCCTGTTTTAGTCCTAGTTTCATCCTGGTTCATGTCAGATTTAGACCTGGTTTAGACCTGGTTTAGACCTGGTTTAGTCCTGGTTTAGACCTGGTTTAGACCTGGTTTAGTCCTGGTTTAGTCCTGGTTTAGTCCTGGTTTAGTCCTGGTTTAGACCTGGTTTAGACCTGGTTTAGTCCTGGTTTAGACCTGGTTTAGTCCTGGTTTAGTCCTGGTTTAGTCCTGGTTTAGACCTGGTTTAGTCCTGGTTTAGTCCTGGTTTAGTCCTGGTTTAGTCCTGGTTTAGTCCTGGTTTAGTCCTGTTTTCTTAATGTTTTTTCATAATAATAATAATCTATATTTTACATTTATATTTTAAATACACAGTTTGTTTCCATGGAGACGTCATTGTTCTGTCTGGAATGTTCCGCAGTGTGACATTAAACAGCTCCACTTTACGTTGATTCAGTTACAGGAGGATTTGTGTCTCAAACCAAACATGACTGTGAGTAAAACGTCTGTGGAGACGAGTGTTTGACCGACCGTCCAGCAGGAACGTCCAGACTTTACACCAGCTCCTCCTCCTCCTCCTCCTCATCTTCATCATCTTCATCATCTTCATCTTCATCTTCATCACCTGTGTCCCTCCTCCTCCTCCTCCTCCTCCTCATCATCATCTTCATCTTCATCACCCGTGTTCCTCGGCCGCTTCACTTCACACTGATTCTCTGAGTTTAAACTTTCCCAAAAAAACATTTTTCCTGCTCCTGAAGCACAAACCAACAAACCCCAGAATATTTACAACAACACAACACAACACAACACTTTATTCTTTTAAACTGTGAAAGGATCAGTCCTGGTTTAGTCCTGGTTTAGTCCTGGTTTAGACCTGGTTTAGACCTGGATTAGACCTGGTTTAGACCTGGTTTAGACCTGGTTTAGTCCTGGTTTAGTCCTGGTTTAGACCTGGTTTAGACCTGGTTTAGTCCTGGTTTAGTCCTGGTTTAGACCTGGTTTAGACCTGGTTTAGTCCTGGTTTAGACCTGGTTTAGTCCTGGTTTAGACCTGGTTTAGTCCTGGTTTAGTCCTGGTTTAGTCCTGGTTTAGTCCTGGTTTAGTCCTGGTTTAGTCCTGGTTTAGTCCTGGTTTAGTCCTGGTCCGGTACGTTGGAGTAAAAGTTTTATATTTTTGAATCTTTCCTTCTCGCTCCACTTCAGAGTAAAAACATTTTTCTTGGTTTAAACTGAAGTTTAGTTTTTCACATTTTGCCGCTGCGTCTGTACAGACGAGAATCTGTCATAACACTTTTATTTTGTTTAAATAATGTGACATTTTTATAGATTTTTTCTAATTTTTGTGAAACACAGTTTTCTGTTTCTATTTTTATAAAAGGGCGACTAACACGGAGACTTCCTCTTTACCTAACACTGACTGACTCCTGAGACGACCTGAGCTCAGACGACCTGAGTTGAGATGACCTGAGTTGATTTGACTAGAGTTGATTTGACCTGAGTTGATTTGACCAGAGTTGAGATGACCTGAGTTGATTTGACTAGAGTTGATTTGACCAGACTTGAGTTGACCTGAGTTGATTTGACCAGAGTTGATTTGACCAGAGTTGAGATGACCTGAGTTGTAGACGAGTCAGCACCAGGACGGACTAATTTATTTAGTTATATTTAATAGATTTGATATT